TTGAAGAGAGAGAGCTTTTAAAGTTCCATTAATGGTGATCTTGATGGTAGTCTTCCTTTTTTATGCTTAAGTTCATAGTGTGCATTTATCAAGGTAAGCTCCATTGAATTTTCTTTTCTCATAAGATCATATCTTTGGCATCTATAGTTGTTGGATTTTTTAATTTAAAAAAGTTCCATTGATCTTAGAATCCCTATTTGATCATCTTTTTCATCATCCTTATTCATAGTATGGTCCTTCATGAGTTAATAGCCTATATGCATGAGAATCTATGATCATGCATAGTATCCATTAATTAATTTGCTTCAAACCCATCAAATAATTTAGTCTCAGAGTGTCACTCCATTTTCAAAACTTTCTCATCATGTTTTTACCTATGGGGGTTCATAATCTTTCCATACAAGAGTGTTTTGACCACTGTGTGTAGTTCGGCCATAACTCTCTTGTTCTTTATCTGATTTGATTCAAACCTTTTGGTTAATAATTTCAGTGTGTTGAGATATTAAGAAGTGATTTTAAGGTGTGTAATTTTTTCCCATTTGGATTAGACACTCTTGTAAGATTGAACCACTTTTGTACAATCTGAAGGGACAAAATTAAGTCCTTATAAGGCCCGATTGTGTGGCCCCGACACAGGTTCGAAACATAGAGTCCCTATTTTAATTTGGCATTATAATTCCCTTTTTAGTTGATTTTATTCTTTAGAATTTTGTTTAGATTAGTTGCGTGATGTATTTAAGCTTTGGGACATAGTTTACGTAATTTGTGCTATGAAAGTGTAATTCATAAGCTAGTCTTGCTTTATATGTAATTGCCCTATAAGGGGTTGGTATTTGAGTTTATTTATAGTGGTTATACAAGGCAAGAAATGGTTGTAATTGTTATGTAAAAAGATTGTAACTTATTCACTTAGCTTGGTTTTTAGCAAGTGGCTTGTTGAAGGTGTCTATTTTGCCTTGTTTTTCGGCTTGGAAATTTACTCTAGTCTTTTTATCTACTTTCAGTTTAAATGCAATGTCCATATTCGTTGTCTTGACTTGATATGAAATTATGCTAAATTATGACTCTATATTGATAACTTGTACTGTTGTCACACATGGATAGAACCACCACATATGTATAACAATAGACCGACTTACTGAGCTGTATAGCTCATCCCATTGTTTCTCCTCTCCTTGTAGGTCGATAGCAGCAAGTACAGGGCCAGAAGTTCGTGTTTGGCGGCTAGAAGACAAAGATAGTTTTCTTGAAGAAGGTGCTTAAACCTTGTTTATGTCTGGCTGTTTGGCCCTGGTTTTGTTTTGTTCTTGGTGGATATGTGTAATATTGGGCCTAGATGCCTCGAACTGAATGTAATATTTTGGAAGATTTTTATATTATGAAGTTTAGCGTGCAGAGTTTATTCCTAACTCTTCTGCTAGTTAAGCTTGTTGCTTTAGCTCTCTTTCATAGTTTGCTTGATTTCCGAATATGAAGGCATTGAGTCCACTCCTACCTAAGTGACAAACATTACATTAAATCACGAACCCGCGCTCGATCGCCCATTACCTCGTAAGGTACGGTGGTCGGGGGCGGGGTCGTGACAATATGCTTTACTAAAACTAAACGAGCAGAAGAAATATGACTGAGGCGCCAGTGCCAAAGGTAAAAAACTGGTGAATTTAAAATAGGGCCGTGGAGGAATCATTAGGAGCGTGTAAGTAATAGAGACCACCATGTTGCTTAGCTACTCCAATCGTCTTCTTCTAAGACTGATCTTGAAAAGTGCAAGAATCACGAGGGAATATTACTGAGCAGACATAATAGGCAGTGAGTTGACTGCTGGATAATAAATTAAAACCAAAATAAAGGATATAAAGAACTTGGTGAAGTTGAACAGGTGCAACAGTAGAAGTTGGTTTGTATGTGTGGAAAAGTGAGGGATCAAATGTCATGTGATTTGAAGCTCCTGGGTCAACTATCCATGTGTTGTGAGAAATGGAAAATGGAGTTGAAAAGGAGTTAACTACGAAATGAACAGAAGTTACCTGTGAAATGAACAGACGTATGCATATCATTACATCTCTTCTAGAATGGGTAATTTGATGAAGAGATAGGAATGATCATTGTTCCATCCACGAAATATAGCTTGTTCTTGGCACTTATGGGTGTGAGGATAGCTTTGCTCCATGTTGGTTAGTTTTCACTGGTTAAGACATGGGAAATTAAGACATTTCATGGATTATCAGAATAATGCAAATAAAGGACACTATTGGAATAAATAGGGATTACCATATCTTTGGAGTTATTTTCTTCCGTGGTCAGGGTTGTTGAAGTTGCGTCGGCTGAATAAAATCAAAAGAACCACGAGTTGGTGAATGTGTCTACAATGCACGGGATTTTGTCTACACGAGACTAAAAAAACACTGTGCAATTACAAATCACCTATGTGAATAGCACAATGTCAGAGAGGGAGGGAGTTGATGTCTGAGATGGAGGGAGTTGATGTCAAGGGGTAGCAACAATTGTGAATGCAGCAACTCCAACTGTGAGATATGGGGGCATCAACTCTGTCTCTGCAATAAGTTTAGATATGAGATGGTGGCAACTGTGACTCAAGAAGGCAGAAGCAGTTGTGACGGCGGCAGCTGCAACTGTGAGTCAAGGGGGCAGCAACTCTCTTAGCAATCTCAAATCTAAGGAGAGGGTAGCGCATCAACTACTGATGACGAGTGCTTATAACCTCCAAAAGAGAAAGGTGGAAGGACATCAATGGTTGAAGAGGCAAAAGAATTTTTTGGTGTATAAGGTGCATCACGCATGACTTCAATAATGCAAAATCAGTAGGCCAAAACTTCAATGATGAAAAGTTTTGCCTCAAAGTTTCGAAATCTTGCCTCAACAATGCAAACTCAATCTCAATCTTTAATGTAAATAGGTTGAGATGGCATAAAAAAACTGAGAAAGTCCATAGCTCTGTTACCATGTAAAGTTGGGAAATGGTGTGTATATTTCATTAACCCAAGAAGGTGATATATATAATAATACAGTATCATAATCCCTTGATAATTGGGGATTGTACAACAAGTATTACTAGATATAGTTTATGCGTATCTTTACAACAAAGAAACTTTATCATATATGATTTATACATATCTTTACAGTAAAGAACTTCTAAAATAACAAACACAAGCTGGAAAACCAGCTAACATATAATTTCTCATAATTATAAAAATAAGCCTTGTAATTTTGTATTTTGCATTCATTTCATTTTTTAGTTATTTTCTAAAATGTCTCTATTTTGTATGTTGAAAGTTTGAAATCAACTCTTTTGATCTTGAATATCAGTACAATTATTTTATTTGAGTAAGACCTTCAAGGTCCGAAATGGTCTGGATGAGTTATGAATTCGGACCATGAAAGTCTGATGCACCTTTAATATCTGAGACTAACATATGTTTTTTCCTCTTTTTTCTTTTGTTTCGACATTCAAGGTTGGAACCCAAGGCACCCACTAGCATCTCTCACTCGCTCTCCCTTTTTTTTAATCGTTGTCTATGCTGTTCACCAACCAACCTCTAAAATTTAAAGCTTAATGAGTAATCTTATTCCTACCCTAGTTTCTGACTTCCCAAATTCTAAAATCATAAACATGTATAAATCATGTATATCATGCAGCATGAATAACTGGGAAAGCAAGAGAGAGATGTGGCATACCAGTGATGCAATGGTTTAAGACGACTTGATACATTTTTGTATTTCACCTCAGACTTTGAAGCTCCTAGGTCATGATTGGTCTAAACCATTGAAGGTTTGAAGTCAAATAAAAAAATTATCAAGGTATTTGCGATCTAAGGTGAGTTGTCTTCCAACATTTGGGATCTACAGGGGGTGGGTGTATTTTGAAATATATTAGCAAAATAAAATAATAAATATTAAAAATAAAAAGGGAAAATCTACAATCCAACAACACTTCAAAATACAAAGATTATCACTAAAATATATTGTGAAGGGTGGATTTATTCATTATGCTTTTTTTTTTTAAAGCTTACTATTTAGGATAGGTTGCTTATCAAGTAAAAGCGATTTTACAATTATTACTTAAAGAGAAAAGGTACTAAAGTTGAAATTTTTATTAAAGGACAATACTATTAAAATTCTGAGATAACAATGGAAATATTATTGTATTTTGTGAAATTTAAAATATATATTATTTTATAATCATCTAAAAAAGTGATTTATTAACAAAATAACAAATTTTTAATAAGTTCGCCAATGTAAGAGGAGTTTTAAAGTCTAAAAAACAATTAAAAAATTAGGGTGTGGTTTCTATAAGGTTGCAACTTTAAACAATCAAACTAAAGCGCACCTCCAAATTTTATCATAACATGTAATTTTGGTGTAAAAAATTCTTAAGATTGTTTAAAAATTTATTTTTATCCCTAACTATAAAATTTTAAGAGTAATGATCCTATGATACCCTCCCACATCTATGTGTGTAGGACCTCAAAAGATCACCATTAAATTTGATACAGATCTCTAAAAAAGTTATCACAGTGTGAGACTTGACTTTTCTAAAGATCTGTATCAAATTTAATAGTGATCTTTTAGGAACCTACACATATGGGTGTGGGAGGGTCTCATAGGATCATTACTCAAAACTCTAAAAATGGTTAAAATCAAGTAGAGCTAGAAACATGTGAAAATCTTGAAAATAGACGGTCTAGATACTGGGTTTTTTTATAAGATGTACTATTTTTGAGACTCAACTTTTTTTTTGATATTCATACATTTAGATTCAATTTTTTTTTTAATATTCATACATCTCAATGTCTAAATGATCCATAAAAAGGTTTTTTAACATAAAAACAATGTTCCAGGATGGATTTTTGAGGCGCATATGTGATTCTACGTTTTAAAGTTGAAACCTTATATAAACTTTTTCCAAAAACTTATGTATAATCGATTAAGAGGCCCTTGAGCTTTAAATAAGCCCGTCTTTAGAATAAAGGAGTGCTTTGGGAGTGAGATGGACTCACAAGTGGGTTGGGGAAAGGAAGCCTGGCCGCCCTTTCCACGTGGAGGGGAGCTGGTTCAGTTCATGTGAGAGAAGCTGAAGCGGGGAACTCCACTTTTATTCTGCTCGTCAGCTCCATTTGAGCGACTGGCATTTCAGAGTTGCGCTCGAAAAGTAGGAGTCTAGAAAAGCTTGATTTGGATATTACATTGAGTATTCAATCATCCGCTTCTGTGTCTAGCAGTGAGAATTCATCATTCCCTTTTGTTTCCCCATTCTTTTGCTCTCTCTCACTTCTGCAATGGCTGGAACTCTCTCGATGTTGATGATGCCCCGTGGCTTCCACGGCTTTACCTGCAACAAACTTGAAGCCCGCAGGCCCATTGCCTTGCTTCGCTTTCCCACCTTTTGCAGGACGCGTAAGAATTTGGGGTTAGTGCTTCTCAAGTTGTTTTGAACTTATTTCTTGTGATTCCATTTCAATTTCCTCTGGGCAATGGTTTAGTTTCTTGAAAATTCATGGTGTGTCGTTAGGAATTTGCCTGCTCCTGCCTTATCTTCTGGTATCTTGAGGCTAAATTTGAAAAGAATTGTGATCTCAATACTACCTGTAACGGATTTGTGTATTCTATGTGATCTTTGGGATTTTCTTAATTCTATTTCATTATTATAGCGATCAAATTTTTTGTTAGATTACGCCTTGATTTTGCTATGTGCTCATGAATTTATTTTGCTTGAGGGTTTACTTTGGTTCTTACACAGTTTATGGTCAAGAGAATTTTCGAGCAAGTTTGATTAATTGAATCTGGCATTGGAGAGTTTTGTTGAGTGCCTAACTTAAAATGATAAAAAACGAGGAAGAATGGGGAGAAGTTTATCAGGTGCTAGGCATTACCCTGATGCTCTTTATTCCACCAGTTATAATAATGGTTGAATTCACTATTAAATCCCACGGATCAATGTCCTCTTTTACATATGTTTAGGTCACTTGGGTTCAATTCCCATGGTGACTTAGAGAATCTTGATGGATGCATATCCTCATCTAATAATAAATCCAATCCTTTGATTGAGCTGAGAATATTTCAGCGGTTTCAGAGAAATAGGAAGACAATCATTACCTTGCAAAAGGATTTGTGTTTTCCTTGTGTGCATATAATTTGATGTTCATATGTCTTCTCCTGAAATAATGGGGTTTCCATCATTAGAAGATCAAATGCGGTATTGGAAGATAACATTTTTTTTACTTGCCTGCCAATATTGATAAGAAATATGAACAAGCATTGTCTATCTGTTTGCTAATTCTATATTTTTCTCTTTAATTGATCATCACTTCAGTACACCTTGGTGTTTCAGGATTAGTACTGAATAAGTCACCGTTGCATTGTTCCTTTTTGCAAGAATGCTGATCCACCTAAAAGACCTGAACACTTTTGCACATGCAGCATCTCCGATACAGAGGCTCTTTGCTTCTTTCTTGTTTCTTTCTCTTCTCTTTCCTAGAGCATCTGAATTTTTTTTTTGGCCACTTATTTAATCTATTCTTAGTTATTTGCTTCTTTCTATTGGAAAGATGGGACTAAACCTTATTAGGATAACTTGATAAGTTCAGAAAACGTTGACCTTTAATAACGAGACTTTTGGAATGAACGAGATTTTTGCGTAATGAAAATAAAAGAATAAAAGCTCCTTACTTTTTAGTGAAGGATAATGTCATAGGAAATAATTTGTGTTCGGAAATAAAGGTTACCAGCATACAGTTCAGAACTCTTGAATTGGATAATAGTCTGGGGAGTGAACTCATGTTGTTTTGGTTTCTAAATGGAACTTGTGATATATCACCGGCTCAATTTCTTATATTTTTATTGAAATTATTTCAGCTTAATAGTGTGGTCATCTTTGCTTTGTACTGTGACCTTGGCTCCAGGTTTTCTTTTCCTCTTTCTTTTTTGTATTGTAGTTTCCGCAAGTCTTAGTTATTAACATACTATGGAAAGATGTGATCAACCCTTATTAGGACAATTTGATGAAAGACATAATGAAAACATCCCTACTTTTTCAATAGAGGATAATGTCTTAGTAATGGATATGAATTGTTAAGTTAATGAAAATTGAGGCTGTGCTTGGGAAAAGATACAATTTAAGAAATACAAGGAATGGGAAAAGATAAAATTTAGGATATACAAGGAACTGATTTTTGGCAAATTCATCTTGTTGTTATTGTCTTAGTGTCTTATGCTTTTATAGACACGTGCTTGTGCATTCTGATACTTCAGATATTGTCCAACATTGGGATGAATTTCAGCGATGCGTCTTGACATTTGCCAATAAGTGCCTGACAATTCCATAAAAGTGTTAGTAGTTTCTTTGAAACTGCTATTAAAGTATCTGATGCTTCCAAAAGAAATGTTGGTGGCAGACACTTGATGTCACCGCTGAAGACCTCATGTTAAAAATGGTGGCACTTTATGAAGAGTGTCTTACTTCTAACTAGGAAAAAGGACATTCATGTCTCGCCAAAGTGCCAGTGAAGTATGGGGAAGTGCCTACACATGTCAGCATGTGGCACCAAGGAATGGGGTAGTGTTAGGGTTACATTTCTTAGTATTTTTGGTTTGAAAAATACTTTTATATTTCAAAACAACACTTTGGATTTATTGTTCTTTCCTAAATTGTTTTTGTAGAGAGAGAAGGATGTGGGTTTGAGTCCCACATTGAAGAGGAGAGAGTTTCTTGAGCTATATTTAAGAGCACGCATTCCTATGCAATGTACTCTTAATACAAAGCAGAGAGAAGGTGCATGTGCGGAGCACACGAAGCGTGCGATGCACACATGTGTGTGCGTGTGCGAGTGCGAGAGCGAGGGTGTGGGCGCAAGGGCGCTTGATGACACACTTTGCACTTCGCATGCTCGCATATATAGCTGTTGATGAAATGGAGGCAAAAGGAGGCTGTAACAGCAGCCATCAAGTGAGTTAAGGGGCTGCATGTAACTTGTAGCTGTTGGTCGTGCATGTAACCACTGGTACAGTAAATGTGCAGCCAACTTGTGGCTCTATATTAAAGGTCCTTTTGCCATACGAGACACAACCTTTTACAACCTTTGCATCTCTCTCAATAGACCTTCTTTCTGCAATTCCAGCGAGCACAACAGTGGGTTAACTCTCTCTCTCAACTTATTTTTCTCTCTAATACAACAAGACTTTGGTGTCTATTGTGTGGGTTTCAAGCTCGGGTGCATAGAGCTTAGGAGCATTGCAAAAGACCTATTTGTTTTCTTGTATCCTGAGGACGAGTTTCCCTTCTTATGCACATCAAATATTCAATCGAAGGGGGCAAATATCGTCTTGAGATAGTGCTCCTGTGTGCCCAAAAACTGGAAGAGTTTGAGCGCCTATTTTTGAAATCGTACCATTTTCTGCCCCCATTTCACCCAAACAAACTCCAACAACATTGAGGCTTGCAATCAATATGTTAATTGCTTTAAAGTTACAGTTGGGCTTGCTGCTGGATTTCGTAATATCTTGTTAAGAAATCACTCTGAATGTAGGAGTTTCCCATTATATGGGACTTGCTTCATAATAAACAATTATATGCACATGTGGCTCTCCACTTGGGATTCAAAAAATATATTCAGTCTTCAAAGACAGTTAGCCATTTCTAGATCATACATCTCAAATTTTAGTAGAAACATATCTCAAAATGGATTGCAATTGTTTTGTATATTGTAATTGTTTGGGAATTCTAACTGAGATGCTACCCTCCAAATGTTACCCTGGCAAGGGGTAGTAGCATATTGCCAAAATAAGTTTATTCAAGAACACTTGTTTATTTATTGCCTAGACATGATTTCCCAAGCAAAAACACCCCAATACTGGTTGCAATGAAGTTCTTGATTTGTTCAATCAATCTTTCTTGGGCGAAAGAGAGGATATCTCGATCGGGGGAGAGAATGGGGGAATTCCATATGACCCAATATGTCAGACAAGTCGCACTATATGTCAACCCAAACTGCGTCTTCCTCTTTAGGACTCCAAAAGGTACTTTTGGAACACCAACGGGTATAGCTGTTGGGTGGTATTCCTTTAGCGCTTTTTCATCAAGGAACCTTGACAACTCCTTTCATGTTGCAGATTTGGGTAGTTAAGGGAGTGAGCGAAGAGCTTCCCTACAGATTCATGATTCATGTTGCCTACAACAAACTACTTGAATTACAGATACGAAATTAAGAGTGAGCAAAGTGAGTTGTGGCTTATAAATAGTCATATGTAGGGCCTGAACTTGCACCTCCGTTTGCAGCACCAGGTATGTTTTACCTGACTTATACCTTAAGCTAATACTGACTCGGCATGGGAGCTCTTCCTTCTTGTTCATAAACCTTGAATAACCCTATCCATACCGCTCCCTCAGACACTAACCTGAGGATCTATCTCCAACTAAAGCAAGCCAAGCTGGGAATACCCTACCTTTCCTATCCTTTCCTAACCTATCCTATCCTGTTCGACTAATCCCATCTAGTTTTGACACGAACCAGTACGAACTCGGTCGCTTCTCTTCTCTCGGGCTTGCTGCCCTAAAGGAATGCCTTTGGCTCCTGTCGCTTTGCTCCTGGATGCCAAGCCTTGGTTTCAAAGTCCCTGTCCTATCCAATATAGAAACCGTTGGCTGTTGTCTTTTCTTGCATGGCTGAAGTATGCCCCTCCTTTCCTGAGATGACACCTTCCTGCTATGATATCTTTCTTAGTCGAAGAGATAGGTCCATTTAATATTGCATTTCTCTACTCCATTCCTTGAAATCCTCATACCACTCGGGGAGTTGAAATAATAACATACGCACGAGATTCTTAGGTATTATCAATGAAGGTAATATGATGTATTTTTTAAGAATAGATTGGGTTACTAACATAAAACCTCTTACTACTTGAGCAATTGCAATAGTATCCCAAGCTTTTGTTATTGCTAACATCTCATCCTCTTTTTTTGTTACCTCTTTAAATTTGGAAGTTTGAAATTCAGGTTTTTTCTTTGTTCAATCCCTAAAAATTAGGTTTATGATTATGAAGATATCAAAATAAACGAAGGTTTTTTGTCTATTCTATCCAAAAAGAGGGGGAATGCAAATTTCTTTAAAAAATTTCACAAGTAACTGTTTTCCATTGTTGAGCACGCATTGATCCTTTGATTAGATCCTGACGAAAGTCAGGTTGTTGTGAGTAATGTATTAGATCCACCTCTTCCATTTGATCATTATCTGGGTCGTGGGTAGTCTTGACACCAGTATGTGTAAAGGTATTCATATTCTCCTCGCGATTTACATCTGTTTGGTAAAAAAAAGAATCTTCTCCTTTGATCATAATAAAAAATGGAAAGTGTTCAATCGGAACATGAAAACGAGATTGAATTGGTCATAGTTACTCTTCGAGACGAGGTGGAAG